AGTTTCTATGGTAATCGCGACATCTCTATTAACACTAGATTTACGGAACCCGTCAAAATGACGATCATTTATATCGTGAAGATACATTCATGAGTTTTTTGTTCAATTTATATGTCACTTATGGCAAATGTTACAATAACACCTGTTAAAAATCAGAATCAATGTCTTATTGTTACTTTTATAAACCAATGTAAAACAGCTGTTTTTTGTGCTCCGTGAATGTAGCGCTTAACGCTAGATAATCCATCTCTTAAGATGCAAGTAAATTATTACTTGTGCACTGGATTCATATGTATTATGATTTAAATGTAGCTTGCGTTCGGGACCTTTGTGCGATGCATGCATATGTGTGCATGCCAAGCGACGATATTGCACGTTCCCGTGTGCTCGTCCTTCCCATTTTGTACAGATCCTCGAAATGTAAACGCGTACCAGTAAGGACTATATTATACAGGATATCTCAGCTAAATGAGGCCACCTAAGTATCTCGGTTATTTTCGAAGGTATCGAGAAACTTTATTAACAGATGTTTTTCAGTTCAAAAAGATGCATAATATGGACCGTTTATTTTGAAAGTGGTGTAAGTCCACAATTAAAAAATATAGGTTAATTACGTGCAATCTGGGAATGTTTGTACTAATTTATCAATATGTAATTTGATTATATAAATTTCTTTTAGGCGAATTTAACTAAAATAATATACAATTCCCAGGCTGCAAATGGACTTACACCACTTTCATAATTAGTCAATTGTAAATATCATTTAATTTCAATTTTGAAATAACAAATATCGCTTAAAATATATCTCATATTAATCCAATTTTGTTTATAAATAATAACAAGAAATAAAATAGGATTAGCATTTTTTATTTTGAACGTTAATTATATTTATATATTGTTAAACTTAACACAAGATATTGGTATTATTAATTATTTATGCTCTTCATGTGGCAGTGTTTTGAAATATTCATGATGCGCAGGAGGTATATAAGGTAATAGCTGCTGCATATCCTTATATTTTTCGTATGTAATAGGCTTGGCATCGTGATGGAAATTGGACTTACACCACTTTCATAATCAATGGCTACGCAATTTCTTTTATCGGCCAATTTTAAATTGAACAAAGCATTGGCATTTTTTAAGATATTAAA